TGCTTGGTGGAGTATCTGTAAGGTTTTGCTATTTTTTCAAGGCAGGCATGGTGCCACTGAGCTAAATCTCTGGCTCGGTTTTTGCTGTTTTTTAAAGAGCAGATTGGTTGTGTTATTAAAATATAAATTTTTAGATCAAAGGACTTCATGAGATATGCGCTTTGTAAATATTTTCTGTATGGCTTGCTTTTTTATTTCTTAAATAGCTTTTGAAGATCACAAGCTTTTCAATTATAACGTCTAGTTCACAACATTCTCCTTTGTAGCTCAGGCTTTTTGTTATATTTAAATAATTTTTGGTTAGCCCAAAGTCAATTAAATTATCTCCTATATATTTTTCTTTAAGTTTTATAAGTTTAACTTTAATGTCTAAGTCTTGGGCTGATTTTTCTGTATGGTGTGAAGCATACGTTGAACTTCATTTTGTTGCATATGTATAGTATCTCTACTTGTTTCAAGACCGTAGGTTTCCCTTCCCCACTGAGTTGACCTAGCACTTAAAAATTTTTATTTTTTATTTTTTTTTTTGGTATTGGGGATCAAACTGGGGACCTTGCACTTAAAAGCCAGGCACCAGAACCACTGAGCTAAATCCCTGGCTCTGACCTAGCACTTTTGTTGAAAATCAGTGTTGGTCGCAGGTTCTGTTTTGCTCCTTGAATGTATATGTCTATCTTTACATTAAATAAGTCTTGGCTAGGTGCAGTGGTGCATGTTTATAATCCCAGAACTTGGGAGGCTGAGGCAGGAGGGTCACTTCAAGGTCAAGGCCAGCCTGGGCTACATAGTGAATTTGAGCCCAGCCTGAATGAGAGCAAGATCCTGTCTCAGATTTTTTTTAAAAAGTCTTGAAACCAGATAGATAAAGTTTTTTTTTTTCAACTTTAATTGAGTTTATTGGTACATTTTAGGGATACAGTACAGTTACATTCATTGTTGGAAATTTGTACCTCTACGTAGTGAATTTGAGCCCAGCCTGAATGAGAGCAAGATCCTGTCTCAAATTTTTTAAAAAAAGTCTTGAAACCAGATAGAGTAAGTTTTTTGTTGTTGTTGTTTTGTTTTGTTTTTTGGGTACAGGGGATCAAACTCGGGCCATTGTGCTTTCGAGGCAGGCGGCGGAATCACTGAGCCAAATCCCTGGCCCTTTTTGTTAATTTTTTGAAGTTTTCTTAGCAATCCTGTGTCTCCTACATTTCCATATACATTTTAGATAGCCTTTTCAGTTTCTATAAAAAGCATGCTGTGATTTTTTTGAAAGAGGATTATAATCCATCTGTAAATCAATTTTAGGAGAATATACAATAACCATTCAATGTATCATGAAGATGACACTAAATTTTCCCATTTATTTAGGGATTTTGATATGTTTGTTATTTAGTTGATTTTATGGTACTGGGTATTGAACTCAGGGCCTTTGCACTGAGCAACATCTCCCGACCTTTTTTATTTTATATTTTGAGACCGGGTCTCACAAAGACACATAGTTGTCCCAGCTGAGTTTGAACTTGCAATATTCCTGCCTCAGCCTCCCAAAATGCTGGGACTACAGGCTTGCACTACCACAGCCTTTTATTTCTCCTTTTATTTATTTATTTTTATTTGTTTGTTTTGGTACCAGGGATCAAACTCAGGCCCTTGTGCTTGCCAGGTAGGCGGTGGAACCACTGAGCCAAATCCCAGGTCCTTATTTTTTGACAGTATTATTATTATTATTTATTAATTTATTTATTTTTTGATACCAGGGATCAAACACAGGACCTTGTGCTTGCAAAGCAGGCAGCAGAACCACTGAGCTAAATCCCCAGCCCTATTTTTTATTTTTTTGAAGCAAAACATTTATTTTATTGGCATGTATTAGATATATATATAATGATAACACAGTCTCTCTTTTTATAATGATTTTTATTTCTCTGTCTTGCCATATTGCTTGGGACATTAAGTACAGTGTTGAGAGCAAGCTTCACTACTGTTTTCCCTGTTTTAGGGAGGGAATGCACTTTTAACATCAAGTACAGTGTTTAGTGTATGTTGAATTTATGTAGATGCTCTATTTCGAGTTCAGGAAGTCCCTTCAGTCCTGCTTTTTAAAAATTTTTTTAACCATGAGTGGATGTTGAATTTTGTTGGATGCATTTTTTTCTGCACTTATTAGGATGGTCCCAAAGCTTACCCTTCTTACTCTTTTATGATGGTGAATTATATTAAATGATGTTGCCTTTCAGAACCAAGACATATCATGTACGGGTACAAATTCTCAATGATGAATGTGATCGTAGTATCTACCTAAAATGCACCAATAAACCTTATGGGAGAAAATGTTTCCATGTTAATTCAACTTTGCATTCCTGGTCATAACGTATTATTCTTTTAACAGTGTGTTCAGTTTGCTGTAATTTGGGTAGAATTTTCATATCCTTGTTTGTTATGGCTGTTGGTCTCAGTTTTGTAATGGCTTTGTCTGTTTTGTTTCTGGGTAATGCTTGCATCATAAAATGGATCTAGAAGTATTCCTTCCTCTGCAGTTTTCTGAGGAATATGTGTACGGAATGGGTATTACTTTTTTTTCGTTTTTTTGAGACAGGGTCTCACTATGTAGTTGAGACTGACCTAGAACTCACTGTGTAGCCCAGGCTGGTCTTGAACTCCCACAGATCCTCCTGCCTCAGCCTCCTGAGTGCTGGGATTGCAGGTGTGTGTCACCACGCCTGGCTCGGGTATTACTTCTTTCTTAAATGTTCATTAGAATTCACCAGTAAAGCCATTTGAGTCTGGAATTTTCTTTGTCAGAAAGTTTTAAATTACATATTCAATTACTTTAGTTGACAATGCTGTCCTGTTTATTTCTTCTTTAGGGAACTCTAGTAATTTGTGTCTAAAGAATTTTCCTATTTCATCTAAATTACTGAGGCTCTTGGCATACAGTTGTTCATGGTATTTCCTTACTGTCTTTAATATTTTTATAATATGTAGTGATATTACTTCTCTTATTCCTGATAATTGTGAGTTTTTTTTTATTTTAAAGAAGATTTGGAGTTTGATTTTGGTAGTTTTTATTTTATTTTGTAAACTTCTAGGACAGGTCTTGCTGTGTAGTTCAGGCTGGCCTTGACGTCTCAGAGATCATGCCTCAGCCCCCGGTGCTGGGCTCAGCAGTGTGGAACCATATTGCCCCGCTGACTCTTGCTTTTGTCTTCTATTTCGTTCATTTTTGCTCTTTGTTATTCTTCTCTTCAGCTTTTAATTTTTTAGTTATTTTAAACATTCAGTGTTCATCATTTCCAGTCTTCACCTCTTTGGCTGCGTCTTACAAATTTTGACTTTTTAAAAGTTTTTCAGTTCAAAATACTTTTCAGTTTACCTTGTGAAAGTTTCTTTTTTTCGTTTTTTGACTAATGGAATACTTTGTAGTTGCTAATTTCTATTTTGAAGTTTTGAATATTTTGAAATTTTCCAGATAATCTGCTACTGATTTCTTATTTTAATTCTATTCTGATACTTCTGATTTCACCATACCCATGCTTAGGTTGGACATTATAATTATTTTTGGTCTTGCTTTGTTTTTTTAGACAAAGTTTCACTAAGTTCAGGGTGCCCTTGAACTCACCATGTACCCTAGGCTGGCCTGGAACTTGTGATCCTCCTGCCTCAGCCTCCCAAGTGCTGGGACTATAGTTATACACTACCACGCCCGGCTTCCGCTTTTATTATTATTATTATTAAAACATGAATTTATAGTTTAAGAGGTCTCTGTTCAGAGGAACATATCCCTTATTAATTCAGATTTTAATGGTGCATGTTCATCTTTATGACGTGGCATTTCTTACTGTGAAGACAAATCATTAAGTCTTTTTTTGTTGTTTTAGTGAGGCTCAGGTTTGAACCCAGGGCCTTTACACTTAGCTACATCCCTAACCCTTTTCATTCCTTTTATTTTGAGACCGGGTCTTGTTAAATTGACCAGACTGGGCTCAAATTTGTAATCCTCCCATCTCAGTTTCCTAGAGTGCTGAGATTACAGTTGTGTGCCACCACACACAGGTATAATTACTAGTTTTTAATTGAAAATCAGTAATTCACCTTATTTTGAAATTATCCCCAAGAGCTGAAAGATTTTCCAAAGTGCCTAATTAATAGAAAGCAGTTTTTGCAGGGTTTGGTGGTACATGCCTATAATCCCAGCGCTGTGGGAGGCTGAAGCAGGGGCGTCAAAAGTTCAGAAATATCCTAAGCAATTTAGCAACTTGATGAGACCTTGTCTCAAAAAAAATTGTTTTTTTAAAGGGCTGAGAATGCAACTCAGTGTGAAGGTACTGGGTTCAAGCCGCAGTAATGTTAAAAAAAAAAAAAGCAAAAGTTTCCACAATGGGAGAATGTGACTATTGTTAAAAAATGCATGAGAGGGCCGGGGATTTAGCTCAGTGGATCCGCCGCCTGCCTCACAAGCACAAGGACCCGAGTGCACACCCCCCAAAAAATAATAATGCATGAGATATTTCAGTAGTATATTTATAAAATTTTCTTGAAAAAAATAGATAAAATTTCATTGATATTTCAAGCAGTTCCAATAAAAACAGCAAAATATAAACATTTAAGTTCTCTATCAGGGATAATTAGCTTTCCTCCTGTCTCTGCCTCCTGAGTGTTGGAATAACAGGCGTGCACCACCACACCCAGCAAGAGTAATTAATTTGTTAAAAGAGTCATATTGCCTCGCAAGCACAAGGACCCAAGTATAAAATTTCATTGATATTTCAAGCAGTTCCAATAAAAACAGCAAAATATAAACATTTAAGTTCTCTATCAGGGATAATTAGCTTTCCTCCTGTCTCTGCCTCCTGAGTGTTGGAATAACAGGCGTGCACCACCACACCCAGCAAGAGTAATTAATTTGTTAAAAGAGTCATATTGCCTCGCAAGCACAAGGACCCAAGTACAATCCCTGGTACCAAAAAAAAGAGTCATGTCTCAGTTTTTTTTTTTTTTTTTTTTTTCTCAAGGTATCACAGACGTCGTATGAAACTGAATCCTCCAAAAGACAGATGATACTGAGGCTCATTTGCCATTGGAGAAAGTACAGTCTAATACTGCATGGTAATAGTAAAGTAATAAAATGTCTTTTCATATATTAGGTTTGTGTTTGCATGTCTCTATCAAATCTTCATTTGAGCTGAGGATTTAGCTCAGTGGTGCTGCCGCCTACCTCACAAGCGCAAGGTCCCAAGCTCGATCCCTGGTGGAAAACAAAACAAAGAAACAAACAGTAAGTCTGGATTTAACATTCATTTTTTAGTGAACTTTTCTTTTCCTTTTATAAGCAGAAATGTTTTTTTGGCTCGGGTTTGCACGTCCCAGCCCAAGTCCGAGTGGCCCCTTGCTTTGGGCTCCTGCCAGGCAGCACATTATGGTGGCAGTGGGGTGGGCAGAAAGGGGTCACTGTCCAGTCTCCTTTCAGGGCAAGACCCGAAGACCTAAGGATGCCCCCTTAGGGCCCCACTACCCTGGGCCCCCTCAGGGACAAAGGCTTTACCACATTTACACTTGAGGGCCTTCGGCAGCTAAACTGGAGCAGAAGTGTCACTTCTGATGAGGTGATGCAAGCCTTAGGTCACTAAAGTGGGACCTCTCACGACAAGGCGCTGGCTGAGCCTGAGGGGGGCGAGCTCACCTCGAGTAGGTCTGGCTTGCTCGGCGGTCACTGAGGTGCAGGCCTGCATAAGGTCCTGCAGTCACCATACTCCGTGTAGTCCCGGGTCGCCTCTGTCTCTCTCCTTGGACGCCACGATGTTCAGGGCTGGCCCATAAACAGTAGACCTGTTTGTTTCAGAGCATGGGAAGCCCAGTTCCCTTCACTTCTGCCTTCGCACCTCTCCCTGAGTCTTCAGTGGGCTTCCTCCCTGGCTGCCGGGCCGCAGACGCACTCTGCTCCTGAGACCCAGTATTGGGCCCTGGCCGTCACTACCTTCTGAGCAGGCGGGCTCCTTCAGACACCCTTGGGCTGGCATTCCCTCCCTTCCCCTGCTGGTTCGTGAGCTTTGGTCTGGCCTCAAGCCCTGCCGCCTGCTGTCCCACATTGGATGTCTGTGCCCAGGTTGCGCCCCCTGAGCGTCAACTCCCCTCAGCATCCTGCCTGGCCTGGCCTCTTTTGGCCCCAAATACTCCACTCAGCCCTGATCTGCCTGGTCTGAGATGAAACTATCCTCATCTTACTTTCCCTTTGAGATACTAAGGTCTTATTACACGTCTGGTATGACTGGGTTTTTTTTTTGTGTGTGTGTGTGTGTGTGTGTGTGTTTGGTTTTTTGAGACAGGGTCTTACTGTGTAGTTGAGACTGACCTGGAACTCACTATGTAGCCCAGGCTGGTCTCGAACTCACAGCGATCCTCCTGCCTCAGCCTCCCGAGTGCTGGGATTACGGTGGCTGAGGCAGCAGGATTGCTGCCAGTTCAAGGCCAGTTGGGCTGCATAGTAAGTTCAAGGCCAGCCAAAAAGGATTAAACTTACATGGTTTTTAACACAGGAAATAGATGTTGAGTGTTTGCACTGGCTTCTAGGCAGTAAATTCATGACATCCTCACTTTCTGTACATCATTACATTTCACTCTGACCCTCGGCAGCATCACGCTGGCTGTCAGGGCGGCTGCCTAACCAAGCCCCGCCTCACCGATGGGCTCGCTGGCGTCTGAACTGTCAGCCTCACAGCTCTTCCGCAGTGCATTGGAAGCGGGCGGCTTCCTCTCACCTAGCACAGTATCCTCGAGATTTTCCAGAATATTAGGTAATTTGTGTGGGTTGTTTTTGTTTTGTTTTGTTTTTACTTTTTCTGACTTTTAAAAATCTATGTTAGGGTCGGAACACATGCAGGTCGCTCGCTGCAGCTAGCTCTGGCCGAAATGTGCTGCCACGCCCGCGTTGGCCGAGTTCACAGGCCACCACTTGCACAGTCCCGAGCACTGCTGTGCCTGTGACTTCTGTTCAGCGGGTGGGAATGCGCTTTGCTCACACTTGTAAAACATTTGTGATGTCTGAAAAGCAGGTACATAAAATAAGTGCTTGCTGAATTTATTATTTAGTTCTTTTAGTAAAGAAAATCCAGCTGACAGCCCCAGTGGGCAGTACAATGTGAAGAACAGCAAGGAATAAAGGAGGTGATAATGGCAACCCCACCCGCTGCTACCCAAAAGCAGCATTTTTAAGTGGTTTACTTTCTTCATTAATATTAATGGGTCAACATAACTTTGATAAAAGCTTGGTAACCAGAAATACTAACCAGGTGTGTCGATGATAAATCCTTGAGAGATGATTAGCCCCCCCCTCCCGGTTTATGTCCCCAAATTTTACAAAGATCAAGACAGGGAAAGAATAAAAACAAAATGACAAAAATTTTTCTTCTGGGTACGAAGATTTATTAAACAAATGATTCCACTCCAGGGTGCCCAAGCTGCGCATTAAGATGCCAGTGCTTTGAAGAATGAATTTTGACCCTGTTGTACCGGGGATATAGATCAGCACTGTCGTTCCTGGAATGTTACTTCTCCTGGGCTACTCATTTTTCACTTTCTCAAACACATTCTATCACCAGCGTCACTTCTCCCTGCTTCTCCCATCCTTTGCCTCTTGCCGCCATCACACGAACTTATTTTTCAGGTGATTGGGACTGAACCCAGAACCTTCACTCTGAGCCACCTTCCTAGCCCAGGTTTTATTTTTTATTTTGGGGCAGGGTCTTGATAGTTTCCCTGGGCCAAGGCTTGAACTTGAAATCCTCCAGCTTCAGCCTTCCACAATGCTGAAAATATTTTAATTAGCTATTTTTTAATGATATAAAATTTTTTAAAATAAAAAGACTATTTGAAATTGGAGAAGGAGGAAAAGAGAGATGGCAGGCAGCTCCTCTAGACAAGTAGGGAGAATTCAAAGTGAATTGCTTGTAGATTTTTTCCAGCTTCCTTTATTGAGATTCTTGCCCCACATAGGCGCCTGGAATCTGATTAGCCCCTGGCTTGTCTTCATCCTAATCTTGGATTTCTTCTCGCCAGGACTTTTCCTGTCCCATCTTTTTTTCTTGCATGGCTTTTTGTCCTTATGAGCTTGTTGATCCGTGTATATCTGTCAGATGTCTGACACTCTGAGTTTGTGTTCTCTCAAGTGGAATACTGAATTCTAGGAGCAACGGAGGTTAAGAGTAGGACAGATTTATTGTTATTGAAAGATAGCGTCTAAGAGAGACAGAAGAGGGACCCGGAGAAGGGGTTGCCTCTGAAAATTATTTTTTAGTAATAGAATTATTTGTCAGTCATAGAAGTGGGAGGAAAAGCTACAGTGTGGTGTTTTCCAGGACATCTACAGGACATGAGAAAAGCGTTTAGACGCAGCCTGGGAGCCATGCTGTAATAACCCCTGATGTGGATAATTGAAAAGGGTCCCTGCACTGTTAGTTTCCATATAAATCACATGCTTGTTGCAAACATTTCACAGGAGGGAGGCACTAATTAAACCAGCCATGCTTTTGTCCAAAAAAACCAAAACACCCTTCCTCCCACACAACCTTATACAAAATCAGAACGCTCTGGAACAACCAGTTGTCTTCCAAACTTTCAGCAGGGTACAGAGAACAGCGTGGCCAGGAGATGGTTCTTCGATGCGAGCGCAGGAATACGGAGTGACGCGTAACTGCAAAATATGTGTCCTCTTCCCCGTGGGTGCTACCACACGTACCTGGCCTCGTCTTTGCCACCATCCTGTCACGGACCCTCGCTTCCCCTCCTTGTCCTTTGGTCCCAGCCACTTCCTCCTCTAGGTGACCCAGCAGGACCTCGGAGCCTCCACCGCCAGATCCCCGGAGGCTCCCGCTCCTCTCCGCAGCCCACTGCACCCTGTTTCCGGCCGCAGCCAGCTCCCGTATTTACCTACACCCCAGCACTGCCCTTGCTGCTGTGCCCCTCCTTATATAAGAGGTGAAGGGAGGCTTGGAGCGGGGCTCGCATTTATCCAGGCGGCAACCGGCATTGGTCCCGCAGGAGCCCAGGGAACCCTGCGGACGGGCGGGATGCTGGCGTCAAACATGCTTCGGGCCCGGTGGGAGCCGTGGACTGGATGACCCTGTCTGCGTCCTCGGGAAGAGCTCCAAACCAGTCCTGCGGCCGGCGGCTCGGGTTCCGGGAGAAAAGGACAGGCCCCATGTCTGCGAGGCTTCTGCCAGCAGCGCAAGCATGAAGCTCCCACCCGCGCTTGGGCGCGTAGCTGTGGCCATCCGAGCTGCCGGCGTTGCCATGGGGGTGGGGGCTCGTCCGACAAATCCGGGGGTCCGGCCCGAGCTTGCAGGCCGCTTTCTCCTTCTTTTCCTGCACCTGCTGGTGCTCTGGGCCAGTGCACAGGGCTGTCTGGTGGTCTTGGTCACATACTTTGTGGGCTGCGTTTCACTTTCAGGCTGGGGTCCTTGGATGGGTCCAGGGCTTGGTCAAAGGCTCGTTGGGATTCGGGTTTCTGAAATAATCATCGTCTCCAAAGCGTCTCCCTGGGAGACAGCGCTCAGCCGCTGGTTCTGTCCGGGAAATCACCGCTGCTGAGGCCCGCGCCTCCACTGCGCCCTCCTCGATGGCACTGCCCACGAGGAGCCTTTGGGCTGTGAGCTTTTGCAGACAAACTTCCAAAGACGGCTGGAAACTTTTCAGCTCCGAGCGTCGGAGGGAAAGGCTTTGGTCTTGAGCGCTCCTGCTTCCACAGGATTATTCCAGGGTCCGTGTGCCAGGGTGGTGACTTCGTCCTGACCCTGGCGAGTGCCGGCCGAGCACAGAGGGCTCCGAGCTTGTCATCTGCGCGGCCGGCCTGAGAAGTTGGCTGGCAAGGGCGCCGGCTTCGCGGAGGAGCAAGAGGACGCGAGCTTGGGGGTGCTGCGGGGGTCGGGTCCAGGGGCGTGGAGAACCACCAGGGGAGGGCCCAGGGGACTGCACGACTCGCGAGTGCCCCACCCCCCGTGGAGCTCGGCGCCCCATCTGCTCGCGGGATCCCCTCGTCTCTGTGCTCACTGCACTCTGTGCTCACTGAACTCGGGTTCCCTCCGAGTCCAGCTGGAGTGCGGACTTAAATTGATGGTAATAAATAGAAAATA